ATGACAATTTATGCAAAAATGATGCTTTCTTTTCAAGCCTGCTTTCGATAGAAGCGTCAATCCAAAAATGTGAAAGATCATACTTGTTGCAAGAAAATGTCAAACAAATACCATTAAAACTCACATCGATGATCACTGCAAATGTGTTATTTTCTTATTAAAAAGTATGACCTATGAAAAAGTAAGTATAATCATTAATAGAAACATATATATGTACCTTCCAAGCTTTTTAGTCAGGGAATAGTCTAGCATCTCCACATGCATAAGTTACCGAGGCATCAAGGTTAAACAACCTTCTTTGATTTGCATGAAGTATTGAAACATTCACCAAGAGAATAGATATAAGAAGTAATTCTCTTCACAAATTATCTTAAGCTCACAACTACATGAAAGGAATACATGCATACATGCTTGCTTATCCTAATGCTTATACAAGTGGCATGGTTCATGCACGATATAAATTCGTTCTTATTCAAAATCTCTAAATCAAGTATAAGATTAACACCAAACATAATAGTATGTTGCAGCTGGTTGACTCAAGCAATATGTAGTTGTACATATCATATTATACTTAACAAAAAATGTTACTAGATACGTATCACCTTATAAAGCCTCCGAAGGAACTTGCATAACCTTTAGTGATACCAATCACTCAAGCTTTACCATCATGTGTAATAGTTCCTTCATCATTTATAGAGTAGTGTAAACTTTGAAGCATCCTTAAGCATGTTCCTGGACCAACCATTATGCAAATATCATTTATCCCTTTTTATGGCTGGACTTAGAATCCCTGCAAAACAAATTAATTTGTTTTTGGCACCCAAATCTTTTTGAGTCCTTCATGGTTAGTAGCCAGTGTAATTGGAGATTCATGTATTTGTTTAGGTCTCCAAATATATTTTGATCTAATATGACTTTTGGCATAATTGCATGCAAATACTTTATGTCCAGAATTGCCACAATAGTGGCATGTAATATGAGAAGAAGAGTGTTTACCTACAGCTGCCTTATTAGTTGACCTGGAGCTTTCCTTAGTCAACTTGTCCAAAGTAGGACGTTTACCAGTAGATCCCTTTTCAGTCGACTTATAGCTGTTAAGCCAAGGAGACGACTTTGATCGATCAAAGTAGTGGCTGGGGGATTTGTGCAAGCTGCTTATTTGTTTGCGAAGCTCAAAATTTTCTTCTTGAAGTAAGTTGTTCTCCACCAAATATTCTTCAAGCGGAATATCCCAGTCTTTCTTTTGATTTCTCAACTTGTTATATTCTTGAAGTTGGATCTCCCAATCTTTCTTCTCATGTATCAACTTGTTATATTCTTCAAGTTGGATCTCCCAATTCTTCTTCTCTTTCCTCAACTTATTATATTCATTGAGAACTTTCTCAAGGTCGTTGAGAACCAATTCAATATTTTCCTGCAATTCATCACATTTATCGCAATACGTAATAGGAGTAGGACATACCTTGTCAATTTCTCCCATTGCCATGAAATATAGGTTCTCCGTTCTTTCGTGATCATTTTCTTCTTCCGATTCATCCTTGTCGCTTTTGAGATCACAATCCATAGTAGCATTAAGGCACACCTCGTCAGTTTCTCTTCTTTCCTGGAGAGATATGTTTGTCATTTCTTCTTGATCATCCTCGTCGCTCCAAGTTGATATTCTAAGATTTTTCTTCTTAAGACTAGGACATTTTTATTTCATATGTCCAGGTTTACCACATTTGTAGCAGCATACGTTCTCTAATTGTTGAACCTCATTCTTGTGGTTCTTTTGACGATTCTGGATGGATTAGAATTTTCTATTCTGCTTCTTTCTATTCTTTTTTTTCTCATCCTGGCTATTACAGCCAAGTCTTCCCGATCTTCACCATTTTCAGATTCTTCAAGAATCGACTTGGATTCAATTTTCTTAAGTTTGTTGGTGTCCCCAGAAATTGTTATACTGGTTCGGAACCAATATGGTATCCTAATCCAGTCCTCTTGGGTTGCAAGAGTGTTGTCTTTAGATCTCTTTGTAGATTGAATTGAGTACAGCCTTAGTGGTTTTCAGCGATCACCACCAACGTTGAAAAGGTTGGTTTTCACTCGCTCACCAACAACGAACAAAGGGTTAGTTTTCACTCGCTCACCAACAACGATACTTTGGTTTTCACTCACTCACCAAAGAAGCGATCAATGACACAACCTCTCAGTATTTTTCCCTTTCTCTCTATCTTTTATGACACTAGTAAACTTAAGAATACAATGCTTGACTAAGGTGTAGAAAGAGTAGGAAAGTTATCCGCGAAGCTGGTACTTTTTTCATTGAGAGAGCAACCTTCTTATATAAGAGAAAAAAGCCGTTGAGTCCTTTTCGAAATTGGACACAAGATCTTTAATTAAGGGATTTGACCCAAGGGGTGCCTCTTCAAATCTTGCTATTTGACTGGCCCTGATTCGAATGTGACCTTCCTTGTCACAGCTGAATTCAAGGAGAGATTAATTCGCAAGCGCGGTCTTCAAAAATTGGAGTGACCATGATTGGTAATCTAAGTTTCCTTGATTGAGTCAATCTGCTTCTTGATTGATCATTAATGTAGTAACTGAATCTTCATTCTTTCCTTGATTAAGGATGAGTCAATCTGCTTCTTGATTGAATATAAATGTAGTAACTGAATCTTCCTTAGTAGCAATCTTGCTAAGCATCTTCATTCTTTCCTTTTTGTTTGTCCTTGAATCTGGTTGTCTCCGAACTTAGACACTTCCTTCCTCTTGATTCATGATACTGGTTCTTCTACTGTTGGCTCAATCTTTTGAAATCATCTTGCTTAATAGTTGCATATTTTCAAACTACATTTGAAATCTTCACGAATCATCATTTATGATTCCCTGGAACTCTTCAAAAAAACTTCTAAACTTGGACCCCTTTGTATCTACTAGAGGAATTTAGATCTTCCATAAGTTAAGGAAATATTATCACTTTCCATAAGATTCAAACTTTGCATGATTTATGGAGCTTTGGCACATGCCACAAAATATTCTTTCCTTCTGAGAGTAGGCAATACTAAATCTTCCTTGATCCTTTTCCTTTTAAAACTCAATACTTCCTTCCAGTGATGCCTTCCAAATTTCCAATGAACAACCATGTTTCCTTGCTTAAAAGTTTTTCATAAAATATTCCTTCCATTGTGAAAGACTTTTCCTTTTATGGTATTTCAAAACTTTAGTGCTCTATTTGATTGAGATAGAAAAATAGTACTAGTAACCCACGTCAAATCCTTTTGCCCATTTGTGAATATTTTCTCAATTCGTCCTTCCTTTATTGCTTTCCAGATTCCATCTTGGTTGAGTCTTGCCTTAATTTCTTTGATTGTGCCCATTCAGTCTTGCTGGATTAGCTGCATAATTTTCCTCCTCACCTTCATTCCTTTTACTTCTATGATGATTTCATAATAACTTCTTTTCCATATTTGTGCGGGTCTTCATCAAATTAATTCTTCTTCATTTAATCTGTAAATATTCTTTGATAAGTAAGTAAATATTCATTGAATATAACTAATGTTTGTTTGGTATCATCAAAATCAATACATGAAACCTTGTGGCTAACACCTTCCCCTGGCTGGCAGGCTGTCTTAAATAAAAAGAATGCGCATAAAGACAAGACAACTTAAGCTTCACCGAAGAAGAGAAGCTTTTTTCAGTATGTAAGTTGTAAATAAATTGTATACTGTATAATTACTTGTATGAAATTTGTTTTTAGTTTATAGTATATTGTTGTAGATGTATCATAAAGATGGACCTGCCACATTACACAAACTTTTTCTCTCTCCTCTTTCTCGCTCCTCCATCGAAGTAGTGATTCTTATAGAAATACAGTATGTAAATACAGAAAATTACCTATACATTCCACCCAAATTATTGTATAGGTTTTATATCATATATATATTAACTGCGCATCATCATCCAATAAATAGCATGTCTTTTCATTATAGGAGATGAAGAAATTCAGGCTACTCGATAAAGTTTTTTCCAGCCTGTTCTGATATCCAAGTTATCTGACAGCAATGAGCCAAGCCTAGGTGATAGGTTTGAGGACGAAATTTGTCATAATAGTGTCGCTTTCTGTGTAAACAAGAGCATCCCGTGCTATGAAAAGATGAGGCCGATAGTGAAGCAATACGATTTGTTGTTTAGATATCAAAATGTGGGGTTTGATTGGAACAATTTGGTTGAATTTTGGTATGGAAATTAGTACCAAAGTTAAGGTCATCACTGGTTGGTTAGAGGATAGGGAAAGAGGAGAGGAGAGAAAAAAGGTATAACCGAATCCCTCAATTTAAGGCACTAATAATAGATTTGTATATAAATTGGAAGGAATACTTGTTTAGGGCGGGTAATTTACAAAACTTGGACAATTTTGATAAAAGTTTCAAATATTGTATAGGAAGAAAAAGATCCCTTTATTCTATTTTATTGATTCAATTTGAAGTTTAAAATATTTAAAAATTACAATTCTGAAAGCAATAAATTATAAAACATTAAATAAATAAATAAAGATAGCCCGGTACACGAAGTACCTGCGTTTCAAGATCTGGGAAGGTCCGCACTCAAGACGTGTGTGTAGGCAGTCCACCCTTATACAAGCGTTAGTTGCTCACTCCATGGCTCAAATCTGAAATTTATATTAAATAAATAGCTAAAATCAATAATATAAAAGAATATTTCATATCCAAGTTGACTGCAGGATGCAATAAATTAAAAATCAGAGTCTTTAGTTAGTCGATTGAGCACTTTAGATATACGCGTAACAACCGAAAATCTTAAATCAAAATTTAACTCACAATGCGCAGTGCGAGTGAACATCCGCTTGAAAATTTAGCTAACTCCTACACTTTGTGTAAATTGTAGTACGAGTTGAGATGCAAGTAAATAAAATTAACTGTACCGATAATTTAAACCAAAAAAAAAAAAAGGAGATAAAAATAAAACAACCAGCAAGAAAATGTCAGCGGACAGAAAAGTTAAAAGGAGGAAAAAATGAAAATAAATAAAAAGGGAAAACAAAAAAGAAAGAAAAAACAAAGCGAACAGCTCTGTTCATTTGCTCCGTCTAGGGTTTTTATATACTCCCAGTTCATTTCAGAAGAGAGTTGAGGTTTCTCCAAAGCTACTTCGAGAAATTTGATACTGCCAGGTAACGTCGATCTCCCTTCTGATTTTGTAAATGATTTTTCCTTAATTAAGTCGACTTTTTGCTAATATTCTGTCAAACTTATTAAAGCAATTAACTAACTAACTAACTCTTAGTAACAAATTCAGAATTTGAAAGTAGTGTACCCACTTATATATGAGCTTAATATATTACTTTTCAGGGATTCTAATAGTGCGTACTATTTTTTGTGATAGAAGGTTTTCTGGTAATGTACTGTTTGGTAGATGAAAGAATATTGGGAAAGAACTGAAATTGAATTATGTTGAAATGATAATTAATTTAATAAGTGACGATATATTATTTTAGCTTATCACGATAGTTAAGAATTATAAACCGCAGATCATATTTGATGCAATTTGTTCGCTTTGTTTCCTTGTTCAAGGCAGCTAGTTTTTGTAACTCAAGGCCTCGATTTTGCTGTTAATTCTTAGTACGTTTGATTCCTTGTTCAAGGCAGCTAGTTTTTGTAACCCAAGGCCTCGATTATGCTGTTAATTCTTAATACGTTTGATTTTCAGCTGATTAAAACATGCATTTCTCAGAATGTCTTATTGTTGATTTTTTTGAGATGGCTGTTTTGCTTACTCTTCAGAGCTTATTTCCCTCCTGATAGATTGCTTTCTTTGAGGAATTTTATGATCTTGATTCCTCGAAATTGCAACACTTTTTTTTGCATAAGTAAAGACATTACTGAGGTGCTAACCTCCGTTCTGAATTTCGAGCACCTGACTTCGAAATTGCAACATATGTGATATATGACTAATAAATAAGGGAGAAGAAGGTAGTTTAGGGTAAGCATTTGTCCAATTTTCAGGGAAAAATACCCTTTTAACCATTTCATTGGAAAGAAACTAAGAAGGTCAAAGCATCATGACTGAATAGGTGGCTGTTTTTTTATTAATTCCACTCTCCTATTCTATTTGCTACCTTATATATTTGCTTGTTCCGGGTTTATGTTTATTCTTTATTAAGGTTTAATAAATATTAGATAATTCAATATCATCAGTGTGTGCTCACCTAATTTGTGTAATTGGCTTCCTTATATGATTGCTGCCCTTATGTCTGAACTACTTTCACTTAATCAGCGAATGTTGCGAGCCCTTAGTATATTGTTTCGACTCCCCTATTTTGTTTTTCCTTATGACGTTTCACATTTGAGCAAATAGACTGTGCCTTCCTCTCTCTCTCTCTCTCTCTCTCACACACACACACACACTCACACTCTCGCTCTGTTGTTTCCTTCAATGAGTTTGTTGAGAATGTTAGTTGTTGCCTTGTTGGTATAGCCTGTGGCCATGGTATAAGTTTCCTTGTAGTTATTTCAAAGTATACTGTCATCTGACCTACCTTCCTGAAGATTGATGAGGTTTTCCTTTGCGCTTTCCGGTTTATCTACATTTCTGACCTTCTCTCAACGGTATAGGTTGCTTTATGCTGCAGGGCAGATTGATTTATTATTTGTTTGTCAGGTTACTGAAACTTCTAAGTATTTCCTGCAGAAATTTGAATCGGGAACCCTTCAACTGTATTTCTTAATTTTGGGATGGGGGACGCTGAATCTCTTCAACCATCAAAGAAAAGGGCTGCTGTAAAGGAATTATCGCGAGATAATCCTGGTCTTGATGATGATAATGAGTCATCTGAGCAGGAGAGTGGAACTTTCAAGAGAGCAAGTGATGAGGTGATGGCAAGTAGGAGAATTGTCAAAGTCCGTAAAACGTCATCGACTACAACTACTCTGTCTTCTAACCCTTTTGCGGGGATTCGATTTGTTCCACCTACTGATGCCAGTACAACTCCTGCTGTGACCACAACTGAAGCTGGGAGTGGGGCAACAACTTCCAAGAAACCAGAAGAATCAAATGATCAAAGTGAGGCAACTAAAGAGGAAGAAACTTATGTGAATAGAGAAGCTGATCATGAGAAGGAAACCGATGGAAAATCTAAGCTACCAGAAAACAGATCTGATGAGTCCAAAGCTGACGAAAATGTTGATAAGGAGAAAGTTGATAATCCCAATGAGCCTAACATACCTGAATCTACTGAAAAGAAGGCAGCGGAAAGTGAGAAAATTGAAGATGATACTAAGGCAGCCACAGTAGTGGAAAAGATTACAAATGACGTAGAAGTGGAAGGCAATAAGACCGAGAATGAAGAGGAAAAACATGTGGCCAATGGAGAAAATGAAAAGGGTGCTGAAACTGCATCTTTTAGCTCGTTCCAACAGCTCTCCAGTAGCCAAAATGCTTTCACAGGACTTGCAGGAACTGGGTTCTCCAATACTACGTTCTCGTTTGGAGCTAGTTCGAAAGAGGTATCTCCACTTGGATCTGTCTCTCTCTTTGGAGTAAAAAGTGACCAGTCACCTTTTGGTCTTAATCTTTCCACTAATGGAAATGCTTCTCTGTTTGGTAACTCTGGGTCATCCAGTGTTAACAAGGGCGAGGGAATTGGTATTCCTTCCATGCAAGAGGTTCCTGTTGAAACAGGGGAGGAAAACGAAAAGGCTATCTTTACCGCTGACTCTGCGCTGTTTGAATTTCTTAATGGAGGGTGGAAGGAGCGTGGGAAGGGAGAGCTGAAGGTCAATATTTCTTCAACTGAGACTGGAAAAGCTAGACTTGTTATGAGAACCAGAGGTAATTACAGGTTGATTTTGAATGCTAACCTTTATCCCGAAATGAAGCTCACAAATATGGATAAAAAAGGCGTCACTTTTGCTTGTATGAATAGTGCTGGTGACGGGAAAGATGGACTTTCAACAATTGCCTTGAAGTTCAAGGATGCCTCTATTGTTGAGGAGTTTCGAGCTGTTGTGATGGAACATAAAGATAAGATGCCAGGCTCTTTGAAGACACCACAAAATTCTCCTTAAATTTCAGATGACTAATAATTATGGCAAAGATGCATAGAGATTCTATTTTCATCACGAAACCCACCCTACGGTTTCCTACCCCCCCCCCCCCCTCCCCCCTGCAGAGTTAAAAAGGTAAGAGAATAGTTTTGTCTAGAGATGGATAACTTGTATTCTATATAGCAAATGGAATCTTCTCCACTATGATGTTGTCTATCCCTTGTATTTCTTCTCTTTTTTCCTTTACCTGTGGTTTAGCTGTCTTTTGTATTGCTTTATTTGCATGAATGGTAGACGTAGCTCTGGCCTTCGAGGTCATTCTATCATTTTCTGATATATTTCGTTTCTTTTTCCTTTATTTGGCAAAGCTGTAACTAAGTCGACAACCTAACAGATATTTGCCCTTGGTTTGCTACTTGAAGTCGCAAGTTCTTGAATTTCCAATCTCAATCAGACGGACAGAAAACAGTGTCTTTACTTTGAAGAGGTTATTTTAATATAAAATGTGTTTGACCTTGTTTTTTGTTGTGCTAAACTTGCTTAATTTGGTCTTCAATGCCAAGCAATTATTTTTGAATGAGAAATGGATCTGCCCGAACAGGTTGTCCGCTAAATCCTTAAGCAAATGGAATTATCCTTTACTTATTAATTTTAAAAAATATGCAGTAACAGTAGTCCTAATCCTTTTCTTTAGAGAGAGGTTGGTTCCCTTCACGTGCTATCATTTGCTCTTTGGCCCTTTGGCATTTCCTTGTTCACGGGTCATGCCAAGACAATGAAAAATACTTAAAATTAATAGGACGAGATACATTGTCCTGCCGCATTCCAGCAAATTAACCAATTATAAACTGAGCTTCACGTAATTCAATAAAAACATACTATCATATGTGGTTTGTTAATTGACAGAAACTGATATTGCTTTTGACACAATTGAGCCTGTGACTCTACAGAAATGTGCTTATTGATCATTGGGTTGTCATTTAAAGAATTCCGTGATTAACTGTTAGATGCTCAAAACTCAAAAAAGAAATCATCAAATCTGAAGTTTACATAAATATCAGGGAAAGGAGGCCTCAAATTCAGAAACACAGTTGTGAATTACTTTTCCATACTGGGAAACAAGATAAAAGAAAATGGGAACTGCAAAAAAACAAAAAAAAAATTAAGTAGTAAAAACGAAGAGGATAATAAAGTCCCATAAAAGTATAAAATACTCGAGACAGTAGCAGTGCCACTTCTAAGGTGAGGAGTAGTTCCTGCTGCACATTCTTGAGCAGGATCCAACACAGTCATCCATTTTTCCTCCATCTAAGAAGAAAGAATAACAAGAAAAATAAATTAGAAAAACAAACAGACCAAGAGAAAGATACAAGCAAAGAAAAACAAAAAAGGCAGTGCATTAAGCTCCCGCTATATGCGGGGTTTGGGGAAGGGTTGGACCACAAGGTTGGGCAGCCCGGTGTATTAAGCTTCCGCTATGCGCGGGGTTTGGGGAAGGGCCGGACCACAAGGCTGGGTAGCCCCGTGCACTAAGCTCTTGCTATGCGCGGGTCCGGAAAGGGCCGGACCACAAGGGTGGGCAGCTCGGTGCACTAAGCTCCTGCTATGCGCGGGTTGGGGAAGGGCCGAACCACAAGGGTGGGCAACCCGGTGCACTAAGCTCCTGCTATGTGCGGAGTCGGAAAGGGCCGGACCACAAGGGTCTATTATAAGCAGCCTTACCCTGCATTCCTACAAGAGGTTGTTTCCACGGCTGACCCCGTGAACTCCTGGTAGAAAAATACAAGCAAAGAACAGATTAAAAATACTTATGACCATAAGGAGGGTAGCAGGGGGGAAACTTACTAGGTTGATGTTTTGAGCTGAGAGTAGAACAGGTAGAGAAGGCACAACCTAGCTTGCAGAAGTTAAGGTTTTTGCTGTCTGGTTGAAGTCGAACATCATTGTTTGAACTGGACGTGGCAGTAGAAGTAGTACTATTATCAGAACCTGAATTAAAGATGCATTCTTTTAAGCATCTAGAAGTGCAAGTGCAGAGATTTTGAGAAGGCTCAATCAAGCAGAACACAAAGCATTTCGAGTAGCAATCCTTAAAGTTAGTTAAGGAGGCATTTGACTGGCCTACAAAAGCAACTAATATCAAAACAAGTGCCCATAACTTAGTTAACTCCATCCTTTCTTTCACTCTTTTCTCAGAACACAAAACTTCTTGCCCTATGGAAAACCTAAAAGTGTGCTTATGTAAAACAGTAATAGCCAGTATTCACAAGTGGAAAACATATATACATATATATAGTATTACCTTAGTAGTAAAAATTAAAAAAAGATTTAACGATTGTGGTATTTGGTGTTGGCTAAAGTTGCGGTGAGTCGGTGACATGTGATAGTTTTTTGTCTTTGCTATTGCTGTCTTTTTACAGGACTATAAGAGAAAGGTGGTTAACAAGGACAAAGCATGAGGAAGTACAGTTATATTTTTTCCTTATCCTAATACTGTGGGTCAAAAATTAACTTTGACATGATCAAACCATCTTAAAATTAAAGAGGCACTCGCAGCTGCCACGTGTCCTGGTACGACTTTGATAAGGGGCTGCCCGACATCGAAGCGATCTCTTAAGAAGTGAAGGGCAGGGCCGATAACGCTATTGAAGACCAAGGTCGAAGAGTCAACGAAGATCAGGGTCGAGGTCGAGCACCCACCGTAAATAGAGTGAATAACGGCTAGTTTTAGGATAAGACATAAGAGGATAATATTCTAGAGGATATTCTTTGTACCTGTACCATTAGGGTATTTTATGTATATGTTCCTATAAATAGAAAGAGACACAAGTATAGGAAGAGGAGATTCACTTGTAAGAAAACACATTGACTTTATAGAGAAATTCGGCTTTATCGCAAGCACACGAAAAATACTTTTTTGCTAAGATTATTGCATAACTTTTCCCCTTGATCCAAGAACTAATTGAATATTCAAAAGCTCATCAATCATTCATAATTGTCAAAAGGAATATCCACAAACCTCACCCCTTTTTGGGTGACTCACATATTCTTATTTACTTAAATATCATTCATTGCTATTTATTATTATTTAATGCTACCTTCTACCTTTTGGATCATTGAATATTGTTAGTGTTGTCCACATTTATTGAGATTTGGTCAAACATACATATTATCTACTACAAAATCGGTTATTTTGTTTTTTGGATATTGATATTAGTTAAGATTGACTATACTTTATTTAAATCTAATTGGTTGAACCCGGATATAAATTTTGGGTCAAACAAATACCAATTACTAGAGATTAAAAGAACAAATTGGTCCTCCGTCCTCGCTTAAAAACTTACCTGCATTTGATTTTTCATCAGATTAGCAATGAGTAAGTCATAAATTAAAGCGATATTGTGTATTAATTAACTATAGTCTAATGATGATAATATAGGGTAATTGGGGTATCATGATATGGCGTGGAATTTCATATAACCATGCCTCTATTACTGCAAAGTGCTAAGGTGGCTCAGCTAATTCTCTTGAAGACTAGGAGTATCCTTATGCAGCTAGTGCAGAGGTGGAGTATTAACCAGTTTGGTAGTCAGTTATTTGTAGTTCTAGACTCTAGTGGTGAGAGACGGATCTAGGATTCTAACTCTATGGTTCAACGTTTAAAGTTTTTATTATTGACTTATTTTAAAATTATGGGTTCATACACACTATTCGTTGCAATTTTTAAAGATTTTTACACATGAATTTATGCACCGCGTCAAAAGTTATGAGTCCAGTTGAATCGGTATTAAAATGCTAGATACACCCTGTTTGACCAAAAAGTATGAAGTCTTTTGTTAAACTAATTAAATAAGAGGATAATGGGTAAGTTCTAATTAAACACGATAAATTCTAGATCTGAAATGCGTTTATACGAATAACGTGGGAATGCGTTAAAGCCTATTTAATGTGATGAATATTGAATGACACTGTTATGAATGAGATGGGAATAATGATAGGCAATAAATACATTAAATGACAGTAAATATAAATAGAGAGAATGATTCACCCAAATATTGAATGAGGTGGATGATTCATCTCTCTGACAATGATGTAAGACAAATGAACGTGGGAATACATGGGACTTTCTCGGATCTGAAAGCGAGAAAATGTGGGATAAACAACAAATCGAATCTTTATGGAAAGGCAAAGTTCATATTTTTTTTGAGAGTCAACTTTTCATGAGAGTTCTTATCATATAGAATATTACATGCCTCTTTTCTTCTCTTTACCTTTCTATTTATATGGAACATATTCTCGTAAAATATCTTGCTACAAAACTAGCCGTTATGGCCGACCTGAGTATTCGACCTTGGCCCCGGTTACTCAGCTCGCCAATAGGTTCCTTCCATCTCGAGTACGAACTCGGCCTAATCGTCTCTAGTAATCTCTATTTGAGCAAGATTCCCTTGGTCAGATTTCAACCCATACACGCCCCGACTAGTTGTAGCAGTGTAGTTAATAGCTTATTGAAATATTGAGCGATCTTGCTATAGTTGAAGAGCATGCAGTTATAAAAAGAAGGCAATGACGCGTGACTTCGTAAAACATAAGGTGTTATTCCCTCCGGTCCCAAATATAGTCAATTTAACAAATTGAATCTGTCTTAAGACACTCAACGTTTTCTTCTTTCTTTAAAAAGAAATAACGTTTTTTCCCTCTTCAGATCTGCCCTTATTATTTCAATTAGAGGAATGTTAATACGGTGGGTGTTTGACCAAAAATATAAATCTTTGTTCAACTAGTTAGATTTAAATACAGAAGAGTCAATCTTAACTAATTATAATATCCTAAGGACAAAGCTATCAGTTTTATGACAAGTCACTTGTATGTTTGTCCGGATGACAATGAAGGTAAACAATAATAACAATGTTTAGTGATACAAAAAGATAGAATACGACATTATATAATAACAAGTATAACAATAAACGACATTTAAGTAAATAGAAGCATGTGAGTCACCTGAAAAGGTGTAAAGTATGTGAATATTCTTTATGACAATGATGAATGATTGATAAGCCTTTGAACACTTAGATTGTTCTTGGATCCAATGAGAATGCTAGACAATAATCTTAGCAAAAAGATTATTTTTATATGCTTGTAATAAGACCGGATTCACTCTATAAAGTCAATGTGTTTTTTTACAAATGAATATTTCATGCCCTCTATCATTGTGTCTTTTTCTATTTATTATAGGGAACATGTTCCTAGAAACCCTAATAGTACATATGCAAATTCTTCTCTGTGTTCTATCTTAAAACTGGCCGTTATAACTTTATCTGAAATACTCGACCTCA